GAAAGGAGAGGACATAAGGAAGAAATGCATGGAGAAAACAGCTGCTTCAACTGCATGGCTGCACCAAACCCCTCAGAAAACAGCATTTTTGGGCTGATGCCTTACTGGTGGAAAGCGGGCAGAGAAATATAGGATGTGTCTCCTTCCCCACTACAGACAAACCCCAGTTCCATAGTGGTTCAGATTACTTGCGCCACAAATCCATCTAGCCTCATATAAATGTTCAATTGCAGGGGGAGGGAGAGTCTTAGAAGAGGCACCCTGAGCTCCACAGACTCATAAGATGTAGTCCATCCATTTCTTCGAAGGTCTTTCCTTCAGCTCCAGTTTCATAGACTCCCATGGGCCAGACACAGCCCTCTCCTCTTCCCACTGCAGGGCACTTCCAGCAATGCACCGAGACCCTCCCTGATTTCAAGGGAACCGCAAACTCTTCCGAGACTCTGACCTACATTCTTTCATTCCAAGGACATCTTTGGAAGGCACCAGGGCACTTAGCTTTCACATCTCACATTACTTAGCACCAGGCGCCATCTTTCCTCATATCTCCAACACCCTTCTTAATTACTCTTCATACCATCATTTCTCATGGAAATCCATTTCTCTCAAGGCAAATGTGAAGGTGAAAGGTTACAAAGTATTGAAACAAAACTCCCATCCTCAAGGGGAGGGGAAAGAAGGAATTCCCCATCAGGTCTGACCTTCCTCCCCACTGAGTTTAACAGCACACACACACACACACACACACACACACACACACACAGACAACACAAGCACTTTTTCTCAGAGTAAACTTAATTTTGAGATTTGGATTCAGCAGGTTAAAATTAGCTCAGTTTGTTAATAAGTCCTGTACCCAGATTGCTAAAGGACTGTGGAAATTTGAGTTCTTGAGGGAGAAAATATTCAGGCACCTCTTCCATTGATATATAAATACATAATACATTTGAATGGCATTTGTTGCCAGTTATTGGCCCCACGATATTTACAGATATGACCTTCCCATCCTTCCTTGGTGAAACATTGCTTGGTACTCAACATTATTGAAGTCCTGAAAGCAGGAATGGGACACGTCTCCTTTGGATATGTCTCCAGGTAAGCAGCAGTTCACACAGATCTACAGTCAAGGAGGTCCATGCTGCTGCCAGCTTCATCCTGGAGCTGTGGCAGCCACCTGTGAAGCCAGGATTGGAGCCAAGCAGCTGTCATTGCCTCTGGGTTATTGCTAAATAGATTCCTGCCAATGCTATGTACCCCATGCCCTTGTAACAAAGCCGCCTGGGTTCCCTGCATTGCACAGCAGCTGCCTCTGCTTGATTAAGGCTTCCAGTGGCATATGCTGATAGGGGTGGTGGTAACCAGGGAAAGATCAGGCCAAGGAAGGTATGGCCGTCAACCCAACACAACTGGACTCTTCTGTTTCTAGGACATTGCCTTTCATAGCTAGGTCTTCCCCACTCGATCTTGGCAGCCTGAGAGACCAGGCTAGTAGCTAAAGCCAAAGGGAGGCAGGAAAAGAACTAGAAGCCTATTATGGTCCTCCATCATCAGCAACAATGGTTTCATCACCAGTTATGAAAATGAACGGACCATTGTTACAGCTAAAAGAAACCCAACAGGGGGGGAAATGACAATAATGAAAGAAAGGAAACATTTTGAATAGAAAGCAAATAACTCAAATGTGAATAAACTGAAAATCAATTGGAGCACTGCTACCCAGCATAAATGTTTTAAAAGTACAATTTTGGGAATTGTGTTTCTTTTGTTGTTTAGAATTCAGATATTTTCAAATGAGTGGAATACACCATTTAAATTGCATACTTATTTATTCCCTAGAGTTAATCTGGTAACCTCTAGATTAGATTACTGCAATGCGTTATATGTAGGGCTCCCTCTGAAGATGGTTCGGAAACTTCAGCTGGTGCAGAATTCAGTGGCCAGCTTGCTGATTGGGACAAGACAGTTTGAGCAGATTACACTGATCCTGCTTAAATGGCTCAGGACCACCATACCTCAAGGACTGCCTCTGCCCAGATAAACCAACCTGGACCCAGTGATCATCATCTAAGGCTCTTGTTAATGTGCCTCCTCCATGAGAGGTCTGGAGGGTGGCAACACAAGAATGGGCCTTTTCTGTGGTGGCTCCCCATTTGTGGAATGCTCTCCCCCTTGAGGATCGCCTGCCCGCAACTGCATTACATATATTTAGGTGCCAGGTGAAAATGTTTTTCTATAACCAGGCCTTTGACTGATTAACATTTTCTGTCCTTTTAAATGTGTTTGTGGGAGGGGGCTATTGGTTTCTGTTTTATTATGTATTTTGTGTTCTTATTTTGTATTTTTATGTTGTAAACTGCCCTGTGATCTTTCGATTAAAGGTGGTATTTAAATTTAATAATAAAAATAAAAATCTATTCCAGTTCCCCCAGAACTGTGCGGCTGGTCAGTTATGGAGGAGAAACTGCTGGGTATTCTGGAAGAGACATGAAGGAGGAGATATTGTAATTAATCTAAGAGAAGAGTCTTCAGGCTATGAGCATTACTAAACTACAAATATATATTGGCTTTGTATCAGTTGAATTATCAAGGCTTACCCCCCCCCCAAAGAATCCTGGGAATGGTAGTCTGGTAAGGGAGTGTAGTGGAGCACTTTTTATTTTTATTTTTTAATTATTGTTTGTTTAGATCTCTAGCCCCATCACAGAATACAGTTGCCTGACTTCCCTGGGGGAGATGGAATGACTATTAGAGCAGTCAGTTTTTCTGTTTTCCAGGCTGTTTTTCTGCTTTTATGATTAATTTTAATTGATTTTATCCACCATATGCTTTTTGTAATTTTTATGCTTAGAAACTTTGGTGATTAAATGGTATTTTAAGAGCTGAAATAAAATTAATAACAAACAATGAGTGGCACAAGAAACAAGAAGCAGTGCTGGCCAGGAGCAGCTAAGAATTCTCTGAGCTTAAGGGTCTCTTTTGGACACTTGATTCCACAAACAGCATTCCCTGTGCTGCTGTGTTCACAAAGGCATTGTAAGGAACCAGTGGCAGGCTTAATGTCTTACTGAACAGAAGAGAAGAGAAGAGCATGAGCTGCTTTATTCTTAAGTGCCACCTCTCCTCAAAGTGGACTACAGTGGTACCTCGGGTTACAGACGCTTCAGGTTACAGATGCTTCAGGTTACAGACTCCGCTAACCCAGAAATAATACCTCGGGTTAAGAACTTTGCTTCAGGGTGAGAACAGAAATCGCCCGGTGGCGGCACGGCAGCAGCAGGAGGCCCCATTAGCTAAAGTGGTGCTTCAGGTTAAGAACAGTTTCAGGTTAAGAACGGACCTCCAGAATGAATTAAGTTTTTAACCCGAGGTACCACTGTACTCAACTGAGTCTTCGTCTAGGGCAGTTTCAGGCATTCTGATTCCCTGGAGACATTCAACCTCCTGCTGTACATCATCATTCCCCTCAACATGACTCATCCAGGCTGCTGTATCCCAGGATACGCATGGCTGGTGCTCTTAGTTCTTGGTCTACTACCACCCATCGCATCAGGAGGCGCAACAGGGCTGTAGCGTGGAAGAGCCTATCTCCTCATGTGCCTCTCTGTTATAACAAGTAGTAACAGGAATGTGTGTATGATATGTCACCATCACAGCCAGCATTTCCCCATCTCCCACAAGCTGCATCCAATGATCGGAGAACAACAGGAAAGCCCTGAATGCCATATCACACGGTTATTTTCGAAGCATTATCAGAGAGTCTGGTTAAGCCGGGGTGGGGAATGTGGCCCTCCCAACCCTTACTAGCCCCAGGCAGCATAGCTAAAAGTCAGGGCTGACAGGAGTTGTACTCCAGTGGCATCTAGAGGGCCACCATTTCCCCATCCTTGGATTCAACTACAGTCCTAGAAAAAGGTCTGTTCTTTCCGTATACAGTGGTACCTCTGGTTACAAACTTAATTCGTTCTGGAGGTCTGTTCTCAACCCGAAACCGCTCGTAACATGAGGCGCGCTTTCGCTAATGGCGCCTCCCGCTGCTACTGCGCTGCTGGCATGCGAATTCCACTTGCATTCTGGGGCAAAGGTCGCAACCAGGAGCATCTACTTCCGGGTCAGCGGAGCTTGTAACCCGCAGCGTTCACAAGGGAGACGGTACGTAACACGAGGTTCTACTGTAGCTGCCATCTTCCTAGTGACACAGCTACAAAGTAGCCAGTTTGATTAGCGGGAAAGGATGCAAAAATGGGATATATAACTAACCTCATTAGAGAATATAATTCAGGAAGGGACACAGGACACCTAGAAGGCTCATGTGTAACATGAATTTTGACAATAAGGCTGAGAATGAAAGGAAATGATGAGCCATTATAATCCAGGGATGGGGCCCTCCAGATGTTGTTAGGCTACAACTTCCATCGTCCCTAATAGTTGGCCATGTTGACTGGGGCTGATGGGAGCTGAAGTTCAACCACATCTGGAGGGCTACATCTCTCTCCCCCCCCCATCCCTCTTGTGAACTAACACTTTTCATGGAGATGTGCTTAGGCTATGACAGCTGGTGAGGTTTGGGTTTTTTTCAGTCTTAAAAATAATAATAATCATTTCATAAAGGCTGAAAGAGAACTCAGGAACTCACAGCTGTTGTATCTAGAGGCACACCATTATGCATGGTGGCAAAAATAGTTTGGGAAGCTCAAGCTCATCAATTTCATTTTGAGATAATTTCACAAACAGGTGGCTCTGCTGATGAAAAGAAGACTGGACACCACTCAAGGCAGCAGAATAAGCAACTGAGCCCTCCAACAACATCTATTAAGAGGCAGAAATACCAAGTTTAAAGGCCAAGTTTACACAAGCAGCTCTGCCATGGAATACATTGTTTGCAATGGCTGCAACTTGCTGATATGATGAACAGAGGCAGCCATGCGGAAGGCCCACTGCTCATACAGAACTCTATTTGCATTGAGTTTTAGCATGAAGAGGTTAGAGAACTTACGACAGTATGACATCATCACATATAGATATGGAACTATAATATTATTGTATAAAGGAACAGTTGCCAATATGGCACCTGCAGGAGCAGTGGCACCCTTGAGCTCTTCCCCTGATGTCAACAAAGCCTCTTGAGCCCCCTCACTCATTGTGATCTTGGTCGTGAGGGTGATTACCTTTTTTCTTCAAGAAGTACATAAGAGCTGAAGGAAGAAGTGGGAAGAGTGATGCTCTTTCCTACTTCGTTTTTCACTTCCAAGGCCTTTTCAAGGCTGAGATAAATTCTGCTGGATCTTAGTTTTACACAGATTCCTTAGGAAAGGAAAGTGGGTGCACACGTTCTTTCTGCGTCTTTGGGGTGGAGGTTGTTCTGGAGAAGATGACCACAGTACTTGCTTACAAACCCCAAGGTGCCCAAGGGCCTAAAAATATAGAACTGCAGGTGAAATGGAGGATTGCTCAGGGAGAGAAAGGTAAGTTGCTTAGAAGTCCAGTTATTTATTTATTTATTTATTTCTTTAATAAAATTTATTACACCGCTTGATTGTTAAAACAAAAACCTCAATGTGGTTTACAAGATAATGAATAATTGTTTGCAGAGGTGCAACTATCTCTAGCCCAGACAAGAATGTAGGGGATGATACATTTTAAACACAAGCAAAGTGCAAAAATGGTAGCTACTAGTGGTATCTGGCTGTGCTAGAAAGGCAGGATAAAGGAGTGTGGAGGTTTTGTAATGATTCTAAAACTGCCAGCTATTTTCAGGATGCAACCACCCAGCAAAATCTAATTGGGTTGTGAAAAATGTAGAAAATGGGATCAGGAAACAGGATGCTTTTATTTCAGAGAGAAAGTCTGCGTTCTCTGACACAAAAAAAGAGAATTGCATGTGAGTACTTCAACTTAATGTGCTGCTGTTGATGGACAAGGACCCATAGCTCTGTGACAGAGTAATCGTTTGGCACACACAAGGCCCCAGTTTCAGCCTCAGCACCTTCAGCTGTGGTGGGGAGGAGGACCACAGGGACCAGGACTGGGGAAGCAGCCCCTTTCTGCCTGAGACCTCTGAAATCCAGAGCCAGTCAGATGTTGTTTTTATTGTGGGATTTTTTTTTTTAAAGGCAGCAAACATCTTTCTAAAGACAGCAACAACACATAAACAATAAAGCAATCACAAAAGCAACAAAACAGTGACAATCAATGAAGTAGTACATCAAAGAAAGCAAGTTTAAAAAAAAAACCGCACTGAAGGGGGACCAATGGCTCACTGCAACAAAATGTGTTTCAGACTATAGGTAAAGGTAAAGGGACCCCTGACCATTAGGTCCAGTCGTGACCGACTCTGGGGTTGCGGCACTCATCTCACTTTATTGGCCAAGGGATCTGGCGTACAGCTTCCGGGTCATGTGGCCAGCATGACTAAGCCGCTTCTGGCGAACCAGAGCAGCGCACAGAAACACCTTCCTCCCTGAGTGGTACCTATTTATCTACTTGCACTTTGATGTGCTTTCGAACTGCTAGGTTGGCAGGAGCAGGGACCTGGCAATGGGAGCTCACCCCGTCGTGGGGATTTGAACTGCCGACCTTCTGATCGGCAAGTCCTAGGCTTTGTGGTTTAACCCACAGCGCCACCTACGTCCCCTTTCAGACTATAGTGCACCCCAAATTCATACAAGCGGAGAGGCCCACTTTACATCTGCATGTGTCTCCTAAACCAATTACCCCTGAGTGAACGTAGCCCTTGACAGAAAAAAACAGTGAAGACCAACAAAAACAGCACTGTGCAGACCCTGAGGGGCAAGGTGTTCCAACAAGTAGTTGCTAGGTAGACCAAGAGTCTGCCTCAGAATAAAATGGATTTATATGGGTTGCTTGGCCTAGCGACTCATTCCTCAGTCTAGATAACTCTAAGCTCTTTGGCTGTTTGAAATGCTCTCCTGTTGAGGTGAACTTAACATGCACCTGTGATGTTTGCATAATGCACAACTGGAAATAGATGCAAACCATCTGTTTTGCAGGATCAGACCATCTTGAATTAGAATCCACATTCACTCCAGGCTTCTGCCCCCGTTGCTCGAAGCAATGGAGGGAATGAGCTGACCATAGCTCAGTGTCATCCTTTTGCAAAGACAGCAGGCGCCCAGCAGGCCCCTTACAAGTCCAGGAACCCTAAATCCCCACCAGTCCCTGCTATGACAACGGGAGGGCATGAAATCCATAGGTTTCAAAGAATCCTGAGCTTCAAAACCAACGGTGTCGTTTTTGACCTTTAAAGGCCCTTCAAGACCTGGCATCCTCACACCTCTCAGGGTTCCACTCTCAGAGATTTTGATGGTGGCAGGAAGACTCTGGACCTTTCCCCAAATAGCTCCAAGGCTCTGGAAAGAATTGCAAGTGGAGGTGAGTCAGTATGCCTCCCTGTTAAGCTATACAGAGAGCTTTCTAAATCTTATTTATTCAAGCAAGCTTGGGGGGATTGAACAGGTGAAAATGATCTAATGGTGCTATCTGTGAGAAGGAGAGGAATTTGTGCTGCTAATGTTTTATGGTTGCTGTTGCCTTTGTTATGCTGTGTACTATTTATATCACCTATTTTATGTTTTTGTAAGCCGCCTTTAGCATTTATGGGCGGGCTTTGAATATATATACGTATATATTTTTAATCACCCTGGTAATTATGGTAATACAGGTATCAAGAGAAATAAGGAGTCTTGCACACGCATCTAACATGCCATTCAAACACGTCACTCCCTTTTGCACAGAGAAGCCCAATCTTCTCAAACTCTGGCTGTTCTTGAGCTGCACTGATGTTCTTAGCAAGATAGCACCTGTGTGTTCACCTGCTCTGGCATGTAAACAGATGGGCGTGAGTAGGCATGGTGTGCAACTGTTTGTGCATGTGGATGCGACAATGCATGTGTGCGCCCTCATTTTTTGTATAATTGTGTGCTGCTCTTGAGCATCTGTGTGCAGAAACATGTGCATCTATGGATTTGCCTGTTTCAAAGACTGTGTGCACGCCTGCCTTTGTGATGGGGTTTGTATTTGCATATCCGTAAGCTTGAATATGCAACCTTGTGCACATGGCGAGCTTCTTTGCCTGGCAGCCTCCTCTGTGTATATATGTACAAGGGAGCAGAGTTTGCTTCCATGTGCAGGAACGGTATGTGTGTCACGCCCTCAACCATCACACAAGAATGCATGGCTGTCGATGGCAGAGGCTCCCCTAGGAAATAGGAATTGGATTCTAATGATGTCAACACAGTATGAATAACACGAGACACAGGGAGGCAGGGAAAAAAAGGGATGTGATACCCTGATGTGTCCCTCCCACCCCCACCCTGGCACCGTGACGACCGTTGCTAGGAAGCAGAGAAAATTTAATTTTGCAACATTAATCTGCCGTCTTGAGAGAACCTCCTTCTGGATCGGGAAGGAGAGAAGACAAAGGGGGACAGTCATAGTGACAGCTAGGACACTGGGTCTGCAGTGATTCCTTCCAGTGCTATAAATGTGGAGCTTCTGAGACTGCCTGGGTTCAAAACAAAACATTAACAGCTCACTCTTCTGGAGAAGTGTTGGGTTTTGTAGACTTAGAGGGGACGGCTGAGAAGTCTAGATTTCCCATTTTTAAGGAGAGAGAGAGAGAGAGAGAGAGAGAGAGAGAGAGAGAGGTCTAATGGTTAACACTAGGGGATCTGAATGCCAAGGGTCCTGGAATCTAACCATGGAAGGAGAGTCGGGTTTGTGTGGATAACCCATAGTAGACCCAGACATACTCCTCTGGTGCTCTCTTACCATCTTTTGAAAGACAGACTAGTCATAGCTCAGTGGTAGAACACAGACCTTGCATGCAGAACATTCCAGGCTCAATCCTGGCATCTCCAGGTAGAGCTAGGAAAGACCCCTGTCTGAAACCATTTAGAACCACTGCTGATTTGCATAGGCAATACTGAGCTAGTTGGACCACTGAACTTGCCTGGTATAATAAGGCAGCTCCCTATTTTCCAAGACTGGGTCCATCACAGTCTGAAGGGCATTCATCAGAAACCATGAAAAGCTCCTGTAGGGTCTGGGTTTAATTCCAACCACATGAGTCATTAAATCCTTCTCTCTCCCAGTCAAGTGCTTTTAAGAGCACAGGATTCATAACTACATAAATACCCAGTGTGATCTGTGTTGACTGCAGGTCAAAATCAAAGATTTGTGCACTCAGGAAAGCTGAAGTCTGCAGGCTTGCTAAAAGCAAAATACTTTATGCAAATTAAACAGCTTATGAACATTTGATTTACACAACTTTCGTTTCCAGCATACAGTTGTCGTTGGATCAAGACGCTAATTTTTTCAGCAGCAGCACTTGGTTCCAAGAAGAAGACGGGAGGGGAAGTTTGCACACATTTCAGACAGGTTTGGCACCACTCAGATTCAAAATGCACAGTAAAGAAAACACATTCATAGCTCGATAGTTTGCTGTCTCTCCTCCAAAAAGACAGAGGCATCCACATGGGAGCACCCGACTCATAGATTGTGGTATGGAATCTGCATTGAGAAGGGGAAGGGGATGCATCACTCCGCCATCACCTGCAAGCATGTATACTCTAAAGCTCAGCCACCCCAGGCAATTCTTTGGGGAAAAGCTGCTTTATATGCAAAGGCATCTTCAGGTAGGGCTGGGAGAGATTCTTGCCTGAAACCCTGGAAAACAGCAGACAATCAGTGCAGACAATGCTGAGCTGGAACCTGCTCTAAGGCACTAGATTCAGGTAGGTAGCCGTGTTGGCCTGACTCAGTCATTTGCTCTAAGGTAGTTTCCTGTTGTCCTCCTAAATCCCTTCAACTGTCCCTTTAGGACACTTACAGATGTAATGTATTTTGTGAGTGACTGGCACTCTGAATCACAGCACTAGCCACCCATAAGCCACATGTTGAAGGTGCCAATCAGCACAAGTGACAAAGCTCCCATCTACCAAAAGGCCCACACATTAGTAAGCACCCAAGCCTGCCACAGTATTGCTTCTAAGGAAGGCCCAGCTAGAGGCTGAAAGCCTTCTCAGGAAAGTCAGCTGGCTGCCGCGGGTCACATCCACACCATACAAGTAAAGCAAGTAAACCCTGAGGTTTTCAGAGATATGGGAAGGGGAACCCATGCTTTCGAAAACATGACCAAGGGGACAAAAAACAGCATGGGATATTCAGCATCAGCTGGAAAACAAAAAGAGAAAATTTGGGCTTATAGTGGGCAGGGGGAAGGCAGTGAAATGTCCTGCTGAAGCTCCTCACATTTTATAGTATTATGGAGGAAGGTATGGTTGCCTGGAAACTTGAGCAGGAGCCATCCTGCTGGGCGGTGAGGAGACACTTCAGCAATTTATTTCAGGTCACCCTTGTTGTACCTAGAAGGCTTAGGGGAGTGCCTTATTTCCACTCTGCGCTCTGTTGCTGCCTGCCTGGGGGTCTTTTTTTTCTCTTTGCCTCCATTTCCTCATAGAAGAGTGCCCCTTCCCTTCTGTACTCTTGTTTGTCTGGCTTCTACTTCAGTGGGTGCTTTGAAACTCATTCACACCTGTCTCTGAAAAGCTCTGGAGGAAGCCAGGGAGACAGTCAATTCTTCCACTTTAGCTATTTAAAAAAATTTCCCTGGTAGAAAGAGGAAGTTCTGTCCCCTGCCGCCTGCTGGTGAAAGGCAAACAGCTGGTGTCAGTGGCACAATGGACCATTCACTGAGACGGCCTCAGCTCCTCAATTCTGAGCCATTGTTCCCTGCCCATTCCTTTCCTGTCCCTGACCTTCCTGCTTTGTCTGAGCCAAGGCAAGGGTCTGCCCCCACCTTGGCCCCAGAAAAGTAAGAATATGTGCATTTCCACAACCAAACAGGAGCCAGCAAAGGCAGGTGCACCCTTAGGTGTCAGCCAGAGTATTTGGATCCCTGTACACCTGAGCATGCTGCTCAGTCATGGCTAAGGCACAAACACTTGCTTGTTATTTGAGGGTTGCAAAGATGAATTTATTAGACAAGGCACACCACGGTGTTTCCATGGACTTAAAGGACCAGTCTGTTGTGGTTGGGCTCCAGGTGCTGATTCATTATTAGAGTGAAGCCGGAGGTTTTTCCCTTTGTTTTTGTAGTGTTGCATATGTCAAGACAGACTGTGTGCTAAGCACTGCCACAACAGTAATCATGAACCCCACAGAAAGCTAAATAAAGTGTGCAGAGAGTCCTGTAGGATCATTGCACCTAGATGTAGTGTAGGGGATCTCCCATATAGCATGTGTAAACATTATGTAATGTATCTGAGTGATTACCGTACGAAGGGCTGGTAAACAGAAAGAGGGTCCTGTTGTGGACTGAGTTTTATCAATTTATTTATTTATAGGCCACTTTGGGGGAGGACCCCTGCCAAGGCATAATACAGTGGTACCTCGGGTTACATACACTTCAGGTTACATACGCTTCAGGTTACAGACTCCGCTAACCCAGAAATAATACCTCGGGTTAAGAACTTTGCTTCAGGATGAGAACAGAAATCACACAGCGGCGGCACAGCAGCAGCGGGAGGCCCCATTAGCTAAAGTGGTCTTCAGGTTAAGAACAGTTTCAGGTTAAGAACGGACCTCCAGAACAAATTAAGTACGTAACCAGAGGTACCACTGTATAGGAAAACAGACCATGTTATATAAACCTAGACTCATAAAAGGTATAGGCAGCATCCACTGTTGCTTACAGGTGGTTTATGCTTGTAGGGTTAGGGCAAAGTTCCAGGAACCAGTACGATACTGGACTGCTGGAGGTCAGAACCTATAAGGCCCATTCTAGAGGAGAAAGGCAACATAAAATATGAGGCCAAAAATGAACCAAGTTCAGCAAGCATTATGGGCATAGAGATAGAATACATTCTTTGCATGGAAATGATGCAATGACTACATCCTGCACCAGACACACACACCTGGACTGCTTTTGCCTGGCTGGAATGTGCCCTTGATCTGTGTGCTGATGCCTCTTGCTTGCCTGGATGGAAAATAGAGAGACTGTGATCACAGGCCCATCATCCAGGTAAAGCACATGGTGTCCTGTCCCATACCCTCCTCCACCCAAAAATAAAAAAAATCCTGGGGACAGAAGTTTGTCAGATGAAATGTTCTGTAGCTCTGTAAGGGGGTAAACTACCATTCTCATATTTGGGGGAAGCCACGTGCTTTAAATGGACGGTGTGGGTGTGTGCAGACACCTATGACCTTTCTATGGCTGCAAAGGAGCCTACCATAGGAAGCTGAAAACCACATTCATTGCTCCGCCCACTTTTGCCTCTGCCTCCCCCCACGACTGGATGTAGCCCCTGCAAGGTTGCCCAGAAGGGAATGCAGCTCTTGGGTTGAAAAAAGGTTCCCTTGCCCCTCTTAGATATTCCTCACCTCCCAAGACTCTTACATTCTATGGACCACATGGTCTGAGAACCACTGCAGTCCCCTATTCTATTTTGCTGTTCTTAGCAGCTGTTCTCCCCCTTGTATATTTGTGCATTTGTGTTTCCTTGCATCTGGTTAACACACTGCACATTAGTCTTTGTTCAGCTTTTATTTTGCCATTTTCAGCTCAGTTCTCCGCTTCATCAAGATCATCTGCGCAAGTCCACCCACACATTTGCAGTCTTTCCCAGTTTATTTATCTGCCACTGGTTTTAAGATGCTCAAGATGAACAATTCAGATGGGATGTTTTGCCACCGCCAGGCTTCCATTTTGTCAAGAAAAGAACATACCCAAATCCCCAGCAGAGTCACTGGCCCTCACATTCTTTTGGCTTTCCAATCAGCCTTGTAACTAGAATAGAATGAGGGCTGAGAAGATAACTTCCTAGAAGTCCTGGGTGTGGTGTCCCTTCCACCCCCATCAGGACCTTGTAAGAGCAGAGTGGAAGACATCTCTGTAGAATCTCAACCAGAGACAGACTGGCCAGCCACCCTAGAAAGAGCATGCATGCATCCTCATGGCTCAGGTTTGCTGGTTCTTGCACATCATAGGCTATATAAGGCAGCATAAGGAAGAACTTGCTGCCCACACTTGGATCTCTTTGGCCTGGCTTCAAGTGGATTGTCACAAGCCTTGTGGAGATATATTGGTGGGAAGGAGAAAGGGGGGGGAAATGGGGACCTGCAGGAATTGGACCCCAGCGGGCTGGGGGATGATGATTCAAACCCCAGAGAGAGACCAAATGGAATGCCATTCATTCATGCATTTTATTTGTATGCTACTTTTCCACACAAAAAAATCATGTTCAGAGCAGCTTAGAACAAAGAAACAAGGCTGCATTTCAAGCAAACACTACAAAAAGAAATTTCATAATAACCTAGCAAAACAAAAATATAGTAACATTTTTTAAAAAAAACAAAACCACATTTCAATGCCTGCAGATAGATCAGACAGCAAGCCAGCCTCACCAACTCCACCTCCAGTGCCAAGAAGGTGAATATGAGCGTGCTGATGCAAAGAGACTCAGCAAACCCAGCCTACTCAAAGCAGTGCCCACTTGCTTGCCAACCAGGTGAGTGACTGTGCCCACTCTGCTCTTCAAAAGGAGAGCCTTGGGGCATGTCAAGTGTTGGGACAATGTCTTAGCTTGTAGTTTGCCATGTCTCTTAACCTGACCGATGTGCTGTGTAACCTCTGTACCACAGTGTTCTATGCATGAAAACCTTTGGCAAAAACTGCATTGAGAGTCCAAGTACTGTGTCCACTAGTGAGAGCCAGGACAGGGGTGGCTTTTACCCACACGGAGCAATGCATTTAGTGCTGGGGAACCTTAGGGACAGGATTCGAGACTGCTTGATCCAATGAGCTGGTCGTGCTCAATCATTTCCCTGAAAGCCATGGTTCTTTCCTGCACTCTGGCTTTTTTTGCCACATCTCCCTTCTGCAAAGTAGGAAAGAAACAGCCCATAACGCCCCCCCCCCCCGATAGAGCAAGACCTTCATTCAAGCTAGGACTGATGGGCATGACCTCTCTAAACAGACTCAGAGGAACCACGATCACACCTGCTAGTAGATCAGAGGTGCAAGTCCAACTAAAATGTAGCCTGAAATGTAAAAGTCAAACCTGAACCTGACTTGTCTTTCGTAAAAGAAAATGATGGGATGAAAACAGGAACCAGAAACACTGTAAGCAAAATACCAGCCACCTCCAGTGTTTCACTCATTCAAATGAGCTTTTTCTGTAAAAATATGGAATATGCTTTTCTTCAGAAACAGAGCAGCTGGGTATGTATGTGGTTAGGAACATAGGAAGCTGCCTTATAGCAAGTGAGACTGTATATCCAACTATCCCAGGATTGTCTGCTCTGACTGGCAGTGGTCCTCCAGAGTCTCAGAGCTAGCTTCCCACTGCTTTTTTTTCTTTTGGAA